TGCTTAAGTCATCCCAGCTCTCAGACTCCCTTCAGCAGTAGGCATCTTGCTTACAGGAAGGCCATTTCTCTTGTTTCCCTCTCTTCTCATAGTGTTTGTGTATTTTCAGAGCCTTTGTGGAGCTCTTGCCTTTCACTTCTTGCTTTCATGATGATTATAAGCTTACAGTGAAACCGATCTAGAACCAGAGGAAGTAAGAACAGGGTAAGTTTTGGTCCAGCAAAACCAGCTCTCACCACTGCTGCTTTTTGTTTACATTGGGTGTCTCTCTGAGAAGTTGAGAAACCCCAACTGACATGTTCTAGTTCATTTGTTCACTCAACTTATGAGGTTTCCTCAAACCTATTTATCAAAATGAAGGGGTGTAATTAAGATTTCAGAGAAGAAAAACATGATAGATTATTAGAGCTGATTGGGACTTTACAGACATTCATTTTGCAAATGAGCGTCCTCTCTTGTTAAAGGTCACAATGGCAAACCCGAGACTAGAACTGGGGCCATAGGGACTCTATGTCTGTACTATCATTGCCTTCCTTGTCTGTACTATGTATTGCCTTCCTTGGTTCTGTCTTTCACGGATTAATTTTTCTTACATGGGCTTTGCACCCTTATTAGATTCCTGTTCAATGATATAAGTTCTAGCTTCTTATTTTCCTACATAAGACTTTTAATACGCAAGCTCATTTTATCTTCCGAACTTTTTTTTCCTCCAGTATTCTCCCTGAATCCCTCATTTTAGTACAAGAAGTCTGCTGCCTGTCCCTCACGAATACCTTGTTTCTTCCCAAGCTCACAACACAACATTTCCAGGCGTTATCCTTGTAGCTCCATTTATCTTTTAGAGCCACTCAGCTTTCAAAGTTCTTGTTCAGGACGATTCCTGCCAAGCCTGTGCTAGCTCCTGTGATGTGTCCCAGGTTTTTATTTTATTTATTTATTTATTTTTCGGTATGCTTCGTGGTTTCTATTTCTCTTTTCACATATATAAATATATCTCACTCAGGTAAGCTTTAAGCTTCTTGAGTACAGGATGAGAATCTGATTCATCTGAACACAGGATGAGAATCTGATTCATCTGGAGCTCCAGTGCCAGACAAATAAATGTATTCATTCATTAAGTCGACAGACATTTTATTGAGTACCTATCATATATTAGGCCCTGGGCTTGGAGAATAATAATTACTTATCCTCTCAAGGATTCAAGAGTTTAGTTTGAGAAGCAGGGAGGCGGAGAAGCAGAGTGGTGTGTGATGAGTGTGCTGACGGCAGTATTCCAGGTGCTGTGGAGGTGTAGGAAAAGGATATATAACTTGAACTGGAGGATAGAGAACATGAACTGTGTGTCTTTAAGGACTAGCAGGAAGAGATGCTCAGAGTCTAAATGATACACCATAGATGAGACATCATTTTCAACTGAGAATTAGCTTGGTTGAAAGGGAACAGAGATAAAACCCAAGGATGCAGCAGAATTACTGGCAGAATGTAAATGCTGACAAATGACCTCAAAAGAAGCATAAAACTGCTACAATTATAACAGAATTGTTGGAAATATGATTAAGATCTATTATTGAAGAAAGTATTATATCTAGATGATGTTACATTGAATTCTGATAAACCTTTGAAGATCACATAATTCCAAATTTCATCATTAAACTAGTACAAAGAGTAGAATAGGATGCAGAACCCCCATATCAAAACCTAATAATGATAAGTAAAACAGCAGAGAAAAAAAATACTGTGAAATGATCTTACTTATGATTACATGTACAAAAATTCTATATAAAATAGCGTATTCATTAGTATATCAAAACACTACAACTGTGACTGAGTAGCATTTTTTTCCAGAAGTACAAAGCTGGTTCAATATCTGGAAATCTAACAACATGATTCATTACATCACTAAATTAAGTGAGGGAAAAATAGATAATTGTATTAGTGGATGTTTAAGAGAGAGAGAAAGAGATTCTAGAAAGGGATGAGTAACCAAGGCGATAAGTACTCATCACTCATCCATTCATAATGCATAACGTATTATTTTTCTAAGGCTTTTTAGCCAGACACTGTGCTGGTACAGTGGGACCACTCAGGAGCTTCCAGCTGATTGAAGCAGAGAAGCAAGTGAATATATAGCTTTTGTGTGAACTGTTATAATGAAGAAACAAGTACTGGAAGAGCTTGGAATTAAGCTACTCATTTCGGGGCGGACGTTTAGTTAGGGAAATGTTTATAGCATCAGAGATACTTGAGCTGGTCGAGATTAAAAAAAAAAAAATGCCCAGTAGAAAGTGAATGGAAGAAATGACATCGTAGATGGTGGGCACAGCGTGAACAAGGGTTCAGGGTCATGAAAATTCATTATGAATCCTGAGAATGGTGTCACTGGACCACTGTTGACACACAGAAAAATGATACAAGAAGATCCTGTGAAGATCATCTGCAAACAGATACTTGGCCAGACCCGAGCATGCTGAGGGGGTGGAACTGGAGGCACCTCCATGGGGAGGGCAATGTCGGGGTGATGGATGATGCTGGCGGAACAGAGAGGACGATGGAGTCAATGATTTGCAGATAGATGCTTAAGTTTTCATTTTTCATACTTTCTCAGAAGAATTCCACAGTCAATTGGCAATGTGAGATTGCTCTAGAAAAGTGCCTCTTTGCTGTAGAAATCACTGTATCCTTTATTAACCCATTTTTTAGAGTTTCTATTTTGAAATAACTTTAGATTTACAGAGAAGTTGTGAAGATAATATTAACCCATTTTAAAATAATGTACAAATAAAATTTATATTATAAACGCGCATAGTGCATTAAAATGTTCAAAATTTATTTTATCTTACTTGTTCCCCACTTATACTCAAGTTAGTCATGTTGAAAGCAGAATAAGCACTTTTATCCCCTTTTAGTAGAAGACTGAGAATCAATTTAAAACATCAAAAATATAAACAAAACCAAAATTAATATTTCTAAACTTTGAGATATGGACTTGGTTTTGGTATTAACTCATTTAAAAAAATCTTAGATGATTCTAAATGTGCAGCTAGGCTTAAGAGCCATGAATAAGCCAGACATTCGTGGCTGTTTTTCTGTATTGGTTTTGTATTAGGCCTTGTAATGGTTGTTTAGGAATGTGTAAAATATACTCCGTGCCCTTTCAGGGAACGCACAAATAGTAAATCTAAATGTACACAGCATATGCACAGGATACAAAGGAAGAAGAGGAAAAGAGAGGCCTTGTTAGACTGGGAAGCCAGTGTCATCATTTGCTTTAGTAAAAAAGTCTTCTGATTCCCAATTTAGAGTTCTCTTATTAATCATGTTATTCTCTTTTGTTAAGAAAACTATACCTTCAACAGTTTTCCTCTCCTCACTTTGAATAGCCCTTTGCAGAACGTAAAACATTTTAATATTGTTATCTCAATGTTGCCATAAAAATTCTGAGGAGTTGAGGAGGACAGGGCTTTTATCTTAATTTTGAGAGAGTGGAGGCGCCTGAGGCCTCTGATGGAGACTTGGGGGCGGGGCACCCAAGGTCATGTCACTCATGCTGTGTGACCTGACAGTAACACCCAGGCAACACTGAGCCCCCCTTCTTCTCTTCACCCATCTCTCCTTTGCCATGCCACGTGCTGAGGCCTTTATTTTTTCCTGCATTTCTAGTGCTCTTTGTCTTTACAGACATCTGGAGGTAATCATGTAGCCCTCTCAATTAATTCAGTTCGATTAATAAATTACTGGGTGGATTTGGGGCTGGAGTGGGTGCCGGGTGCCTTCCGGGCCTCCCTGTGCTGGAGAGCTCTTGCAATCAGGCTTGGAGAGCTCTCCTGAGCAGCAGTCGCTGAGGCTCAGCCCTGGCCTGAATGCTGCCTGCAGGAATGATTGGCTCACCCTGACGCGCAAGACATCATTTTTCTCTCCTCACATAGTGTGTGTTAATCTGGTTAGAACAGCACCTGGGCTGGGTTGGTATGTCCCCCTGCTAGTCAGGTTTTTCATAAAGGTCCAGCATAGCTGCTGATGGGTCATTTCTTTGTCATATCAGCTCACCAGAGCATTATAGCCCCTGGCCACTAAGTACCAATAACCGTCCCAGGCATAGTGACAAACAGTGTCCCCCTCCCTGCAATTTCCAAGTGCTCCTTGGTGAGGAGCAGAACTATTTCTGCCAGAGGGACCATTTTAAAGTATCTTGCCTTACACTTGTTATGCTCCTGTTTGAAGAAAAAACTGGTGATTCCTTAATGCTTAAATAAATTTGAACTCTTCAAGCTTGCATGCAAAGCTGTCTGGTGCTCTGGTTCTATCTGACATTTTAGTTCTTTTGCTAGCTACTTTTCCTTATTTTCCACTCCGGCCACACTAGTTGGAAGTGCCATGTACTTTTCTGTCCAAATAACTTTGCTAACACTGTTCAGGCCCAACCTCTACTCAGCACTCAAAGTTCCATGTGAAGGTCACCTCATCAATGATGCCTTCTTAGTTCTGCTAGCAAGGAGTGATCTTATCTTTTTCTGCATACCAGAAACATTTTTTTATATCTCCCTTAGGTAACGTATCACTTCAATTAGGTAACTTAGCACAACATTTAGGTAATGTATCATCATTTAATTGGTGTGATAATTACTTTAATAGATTATTAATACAATTGAAGCTTTTTCCAACCTTAATGGTATTCTCCTACCACAGAAACTCCTTCAGGTTAGAGATTATTTCTTATTTATATCGATTTCCTGAGGAGTGATAGGCAATAACATAGGTAACTTGCAGGAGAAAGGTGTTTAAGTTTGGTTGGGGGAGTGTTCAATTTTTCTCCTCCTCTTCCTCCTCTTCCCTTCTTTTTTCTTCCTTTTTCCTTTTTCCTTCATCCTTCATCCTTCGTTCATCTCTCTTCTCAGAGGGCTTTTTCAAGATTTCATTAAGTGTGGCTTAAGATGGAATAATAATGAAGTGAGCTATGTTGCCTCCACTTTCATGCTTCCTGTCTTTCTTTTTAATTCCAGATTCCAACAATGTCTCATCCATCTTGGCTACCACCCAAAAGCACTGGTGAACCCCTTGGCCATGTGCCTGCACGGATGGAGACCACCCATTCCTTTGGGACGCCCAGCATTTCAGTGTCCACACAGCAGCCACCCAAGAAGTTTGCACCAGTCGTTGCTCCAAAGCCCAAATACAATCCATACAAGCAACCGGGAAGTGAAGGTATGTGTGGGGATTTCAGAGCTGGGTGCCGAAAGTTGGAGAGTTCAATATAATAAAAGTGATTTAAGGCATGGTGTTGTGTCAGAAAAAGGTAGCTCAAGAATTTGTAGTGTGGTTATCATATTTCATGAACTATCAAAGGATACAGAATACTCAGAAACCATCTAAGCTAACCCTTTCTTTAGGGCAAAGAGATTGAGACCTCTTAAGGGTTATATGGCTATGATTACACAGTGAATTAGAGCTAGAGCCACAACTACAACCCTGGCCTCTATTTATAGCTCACTGTCCTTCTTCTGCATTATCTTGCACCCCTAGCCTACTGTCTTGTAGAGCTATATGTCTACCACCCAGTGGACTCTGCCTCTTGTCTTTGGACGAGTGTCCAAATGCTGGCAAGCAGTAGTCTGATGGGAAATCCGTACTAAGTGAACCTAATAAGGCACCTGGAATTGTTTTGCTTTCTCTGGATATTTTTCCTCCCCTAAGTTGCTATAGGATAAGGTTATCTGGAGAACTTTGTGAGATCTGCATTTGTTGATGCTCACAGACAAATTTGAGTAAAGCCTAGTTTTAGCGGTTTTAATAGCAGTACATTCAGTTTATTTCAAGTGGAGTTTGAATATCTACATCAGCTCAGCCTCTCAGGTACATATGTATGTGTACATTCACACACTAAACACCACAGGCAGTATAAAGAGTGCCATACTCAGGTTGAAGTGGTTCTATATTTTTACCAATGAATGTCAGCAGTTCATCCAAACCCATTAAACGATAACGTAACTAACAATCAGAAGAACATTAGACTTCTGGGAGCTGAGAGAGAAGAGGCAGCCTCCCTTTCTTATCCCCCCTCACCCCCACCCCACTCCCCACACGCATGCACACACACCTTTTTTTTTTTTTTAAATGACCTTATTCTCTCCAGGATGTTTCTAATTCCTTCTTCGATGACGTTAGTGCTTTTGTTTCAGCAATTTTCCACGAGACTGTTTCATACTCTGTGATATAGTTCATCCTTTCTCTTTTCCTTCTAATCCTCTCTCTGCCCCCAGTAAATACTCTACTAGTCTATTAATATTTTAAGACTAAAGTCAGAAACCTAGCCCCAGTGTTTAGCTACATAAGATGGCTGGATGCTTAGGTAGGTGGTAGGGAGGTCAGGCACCAGCATGCACACCTGAGTTGTGGCTGTGGATCTTTCAGCATCCTTCCTCCGGAAAAGGGCCACAGCAAGACCACAGCAGCTCTCTGTGGAAAAACAATAAATGACCCCCTTGGTGCTTTACCGATCTCTGTGGCAGTGCCTGAAGTTATGTTGGCCTTGAAAGAGACTATGCCTTTGCAGTTAATCAGGACTTTGTGGAACTGGTGTTCTTTGGCTCACCATTCTTTAGTCATTGCAGGACTCAGGAATGGGATCTGGAAGAAAATCCCTCTTCACAAGGACAAGAGGAGTCATGTGTTGGCTCCCTCATTTGTTTTCTCAGTGTTTTCCGTGGTCTGCTTACTAGGTTGGTTGTTATTCTGTCTCCTAACTTTTGGGGAGAGCTAAAATGGGCTTCCTTCTAATATGGAGGAAACAAAAACATTGTCCCTTATGGAGTAGGAGGCAAATGTGTGAGGAAGTCTTAGTAGGTATGACAATGGGTGTATGCTCAAGGGTCAGGGTAGGGCCAGGTCTTTTATTAAGTGGACTAATAAATTACATGTAGGAGAGGGAGGAGAGAAGCAGGCTCCCTCACTTTGATGTCTATGAATTACGGTGGCTTGGCCCCTTGGCTGACTCTCCTTGCCTTGAGATGCCCTGCCTGCTTCACTGTACTTATCATGTAAAGTTTATTCACTGTCTGTCTTGTTCTCTAGGGACACTGGTGTAATCTCTGATACCCTTCAGCTTTTGCTCAACTCCTTGCTGTTTCTTACATGCCATCCTATATGCTTTTGTTCCGTATTCAAAAACTTACTTACATCAACTTCTCCAAAATATCTAGGTATGGCCTAGATTAGAAGTAATCACTCCTTTCCCTGGGTTTCCACATACATCTTATTCTGTCAGATTTCTACTTTTGTTATTTCTCCTGCTCTTACTTTGTCATGCAGTGAACATGTAGTCTGTATGAGGCACCGTGCTTTTTCATTATCATTTTATTGCCTTCTCATACAACCCTATGAAGTGTCTTTCCACATAAAGAAACGTAAGCTTAGAGAAGAGAAGTGACATTCTCTATGGTTTCGTGGCTACTGAATTTCTGAAATGAGGCTGTTGTCTTTACCCAGTGTGCTATACTGCTTGTCCTATTCATGGCATATGTGGCACTCAAGTCCCATATGATGGAGATACTTCCTACTTCCTTATAAGAATGTAAGCTTTGTTTCCCCATTTAAGCAACAAGACATGGTTTCTCACTCGTCCTTATGTTCCTCTTGGCTCTTATTATGCTACTGTGTTTTTAGTAGGAATGATTGTGTATGGTCAAATGTATGTCTGTATGTTCTTCTGTATATATATATTTGGATGGGTGGCGGATGGCTGGATGGGTGAATGCAGCACTTAGTAATTTTTTTCGTACAATAAACAGTTTGAAATATGGCATCCTTATTTGAAGCAACTCAGTCTCATTTAATTTCTGAAGTCTAGATTCTTTCTTGCAATTCTGCCAATCTCTCTCTTTTTTTTAATATAACCTTTTTTGAATACACGAAGGAAAAGAAATTTCCCTTGCATATATACATTTTAAAGACAAATATGAGGAAAGGTTTATGGATATTCAGACTTTTTTATGTGGAGCTACATGGCTTCATCTGCTATATGGCATAACGAGATATTTGTTAGAAGTATAAGGGTTCCTTTACTTTATATTTAATTTAAATGTTAGTGCATTCTCTGTTACTCTAAACATTTTTATAATTCATGTTATTTTCGTTTAAATTTTTATACATTTTTAAAGTTTATATCCATCTTTTTTTTCTTTTTTGTCCATTTAGAATGTTCTATGCCATTAGTGAAATCCCCAGATAGTAGGTAACGCAGTTTTTATTTACAGGGTGAATTGATGATGCCAGGGTCTTGTGTCTCAGCTCACGCTATTCTTTGCCTTTAGTATACACTCTCCTGAATTTCTATCCCATAAAATCTTTTCATTTATAGCTTAATTCAGAGCCTGGCCTCCAAGAACCTCAACCAAAAAGATAGAAAGTTAGAGCTAATAGAAGTCACACAGTCCACCTTTTTCTTGTGTAAAATGTGAAAGCTGCAATGCAGAAAGTGTAAATTTTTTTTACACTTTCAGATATTTGCGCAGCCTGCTCAGAGCCGAGCTGGTACTAGACCTCAAGTTCCCTCTGAGTCTAGATTTATCCAGGACCTTGTGTGATTTTCTAACGAGGACTCTTTTCCATCTCACCATACCTCTTTAGTATCTCCTACCATTACCACAATGTGTCTTCTAATAGGTTTACTTACTTATGAGCCTATTTCCTTCAGCAATCTCGGGACTTTCAGAAGTAGGGGCTGCCTGACTCATGCCTTTACTCCCAACGGCTCCCAGCAGGGTACCTGACAGTTAGCAGGTACTCAATAATGTTTGAAATAATAGTTAAACATAGCAGTAGCAATATAAACCTGTTTATCCAGGCACAATTTCTAGCTTCTCTGCTATTTACTAAGCCTCATGGTTCTGCAGCTCACCCTATGTGTTTGAGTTACTTTTACCCTCCTATAGCCATTCCCTAAGCTTTTTAGTTTCTTACACCACTTACCTTGAAGTTACCGATTACATTTCTCACCTTGGTATCATGTCTGTCATCTCTGGGGTTTGCTCTCTCATTTTTTAATTCTGACTGTGAACGTGAAAAAGTATCCACATGTTTTCTACATCAACTTATATTTATGTGGCACCATACGCTATAATTTTCTTTTATAGAGTGTTCTGCTAATAATTTTTTTTGTAAAGAACTTTGGCACACTTAAAAGGAATGACTTCCCAAAGTTACCCAAGGAGTTTAGGCTGAGCTGAGACCAGAACTTGGCTTTCCTAAGTGTGCTCATTTTACTGCATCTCCATTGTCTCACGTTGGAAGAGGCAAGATTGGGGCTTGGCTCCTAAGGAATGAATGAATCCTGGATTATTGATACTTAGAGAGGTAGGCATTAGCGATGTGAGGTCATGAAATCTGGTTAGGTGGGACATATTTGTTTTCTCAAAATTGATAGCTAAGACGTGAGAGAAATGGAAAGCCACCTATGGCAATATGTTTAAAGAAAGTAATTTAGAATAGATTTTTCCTACTATTTTTATGTTGAGCATACAGGCCAATTTAGTGCTGCTTCTCTTAAAGTTAGCAAAACCTTTTTCTTTTTTAAAACTGGTAGAAAATGTATGAGGACTGATTGTGAACCCTGAACTTTATATCTAGATATTTAGACTTGCAGTGTACTCTCCTGTCTCTGGTGTCCTATTGTCTCTATTCCATTCAATGAAAGGTGAATCTGGACTGTGACTTTTGAGGTACATATGGGAAAGACACATCTTTATGTAGTCTTGACAATTCTGTTAAGTTGCCAGCCATCACAGAAGAGCAATTGCATCTTCTGAGATGTTTGTTTTAATTATGCATGGTCTGTGAGGAGCACAGTCGCAAAGTCACTAAAACATCAGGAACTCTAATGAGACTGAGGCTTGGCCAGCATGCCCCTTTTCTGGTTCGGGATAAGCATCTTGAGCCTCATCTATCACTGTACTGTACAATATGTGAGTTTTAATTTTCAGAGCCTCAAGGTGGGGAAAAGGACAAGCTGTTCATTCACTGAAGGGTCAGATATTAATTGTATTAATCTGATATTTACCTTGAATCTTCTGGAAGAAAAAAATTCTTTGAGTGATACCAGAACTTACCAAATATTCATAGGCTTTATTGATCCTCAGAAAAGCCAAGGTTCAGCACCGACTTGGTGGTCAGGGCATTCACATTGAAGCCTGTTTCACCTCTCTACCTTG